CAAATTTCAACCCACCTTCCAGGGCCTTTAATTCAGAAACTTTTCATAGTATGAATTTACATTTTTTTCATGAGCAATAAATAAGTCATCTGATTATGAAGAAGCCAGGTGGGAACCTTTGTCAGATCTGACTGATCTGGTATGGAAAGACCGGATAGCTATAGCTGTACCTTGTAACAGTGGTAGAAGGTCAACAACAGCCTGGCCCAGAGGCACTTGTCTTGGTTCATCATTCTTCTCCTCAGCCAGGACTTCTATCACTGTCACTGACCACCACCAAACCATATACATTAAACACAACAGTGGACATTTTTAGCAAGTTTGGTTATCAAGGAGATTCCTGTCATCAATTACACAAGGTATTCACAACACAAAATGTAATAAAAAAAAAAAGCAACAAAAAAAGTGTTGATCAAACTGAAAGAAAATAGAATGAAATGAAATGTTTCAGCTGCTGGTTAGCACCATTTTCAGTTTCATTATATTATCAGAGACAGGAGAATATTTCAAATCTCGACTTACATACAATGGGTTTTTGGGCAATGTCACTGAGAGCCTGAGCGTCGTTTGGACAGCGGAAGATGCAGGTAAATTTATAGTCAATAAAGTCCTGCATGGGGTTACCCTGCTTCTCATCTGACTCTCCCAGCAATGTTCCATCAAACTCAACCCGCACCAAACTCTGAAAGCTATCTCCTTTTTTTGATTGCTAAAAAGAAAAGAAAAGAAATACATAGCAAGCTGTAAACATTTACTTAAGATTATATCACATTTTAAAATAAAGCTTTAATTACATTAAATTTACTTAGATACTTGTTGAAGAAGTAAAATGTAGTTAGCATAACATCAAAAGTATATTCCACCAGTCTCCATGTAAGCTATTAGTACCGCATGCTACCAAAGCCTTCTAAGACCTATAACTCGGGAAGTTGTTTGCTTTTATGTCTCTCTTTGGATAAGTCAATGTGAATTGAAACTAGAAAAGAAGACTGTGTGCTAAAAGCAGTTTTGCTGATAAGAAAACAACTGTTTATGAGATATTGGACTGAAAATATAGAGCGAGCTGACCTGCCCAAATACACATAAGCTAACTTTGAGTTTTCTAATTAGATCAATGATGGATGGTCAATGATGAGAATGAAAACTGACTGACATTTTACTATGACATTATTAAAATAGAATTTTAACTTCAGTGCTTTACATAACTGCATACAATCTTGAATAAAATAATCTTGAACCAAGTGCTACTTGTGTTAAATTTTACTTTGATATTTGCCCATTTACTTGAGTATTTTTTTTAAATATATTTGGTGGTAAGTGGTTGTAAAAGTTATGTAACAATACAAGGAGAAAGAAAAAGAATAGCCACCTAAAATATTTGCAATTTTCTTTTTTTAACAAACACAATTCTAATTTCATGTAATGATAAAAAACTGAACCAATTAAAGATAACAAGTTCATTGGGAAGCTCTAAAAAGCTTATTGAGAAGTCTTAAAACAATTAAACAGATATCCAGATATAGATATCCAGCAGCTCCATTTAAAAAGCAAACATTCCTCCAGTCATAAATAAATAAAGTTCAAAAGAGGGATACACAATACAATACAATAAAAGATTGCAAATGGACTGGTTCTTACATAGCACATTTCTACTCTACTTGCCATGTGCCTCATTCATACAAGCGCTTTTTAAAAATACTTTTTCCTCAAACTAACACGCACACACTGATGGATGATGGACTTTGGCTTCAATGTCTTTCCCAAGAACACTTTGGCATGCAGACTGGAACATCCAGGAATTGAACTACCAACATTCCAAGTACTAGATTACTTGCTCACTGTTTTAATGGACTGATAACTAATAAATGGGTGGGGGGGGGTGAGAGGACAGAGGGTACCTGCCAGCCATCAGAACGTGGAGAGGGTTTCTACTGTTGTCCATTATAGATGACTTCCTCTTCTCTATAAATTACATTCTCTATATATTTCATCCCTACATATATATGTACTGTACTGAATCGCACGAACATAAGGATGATGAAATCTACTGCAACAAAATTATAGCTACATATATAGCATGCTATATTCCTATACTGCACTCCAGGTTCTATGAATAAAGGAATGTTACAGCTCTCTTAAGGTGAGCTATAATCTTTTACTGTCAAACAATAACAGCTTAGAAGTGAACACCTCAAAGTTTCTTTCGGAACTGCTGGACGGTAATGTTGGGTTATCAAGGTAATTTGTTGCTTCGTGAATTTTAAGGTAAAAAAAAAACTTCATACACAACACGTACCTAGACTTCCGTTAGACTGTTATGCCGCAGTGTTAGCAAATTTCACAGGTTTATGGGGATCATTTCTAAGTAACGGCAAGTTGACTTACCAGGTCATTTCCACGGTTTATATGTATTTTTATACTCATGCTGTGCCTTTTCGTGTTTCCTGGAGCCTCCATTAAAGGTCAGTTTGTCGCACGGGGACGCGTTTCCATGGCAACGATACCTCTCGTCGCTCACAGGCGGCGGCTCTGATATGGTGGGTTCAACGTGAACTCGAAAATGCTGAACAATATACAACAAGAAGGGCAAAATTAACTTCAGATTCAAGTTTACTGTTACCAGTTCAGCGACGCGGTTGATAGGAATCTGTCCTAATGTGCTCATATATACCACAACACACAACAAAGCACAGCATGATACATTGATACATGTACTCAATCAACTCATAAAAGTAGTGCCCTGTTTCACTGTACCTGTCTTCAAAGTGTTTTTTGTGAGAGGTTCAGCTAATATTATAATATTTATTTATTTTTTTAAACTTTATTTATCACATTTTAGACATACAGTCAAGTAAAACAGGGATCACATAAAAGATGACATTGTGGTAGTACAATGAGGAACAGAAAGAGTGACAAGGACAGTGAGCTAATATTATAATATTATAGTACATGAATAGCCTATTATGCATGTCATTACATGAATGCAGCGTTATTCAACGCAGATATCTTATTCTTCTGCAAAGATATATTCAAAAAAACAAATATTAAAGAAATATCTTTCGTATTACAGGCAAATACAGCTTTTCACCCTCGGTGCATTACACATGTGAGAGAATCGATTTTGTACTCGCTTTTATTCAGGAAAACATTTATGAAACATTTTGTTCTGTAATAGTACTAGTGAGACAGCAGGGGTCACTGCTCACTACAGGGGAAACATCCTGGTGGCGCACTCGTTTTTAAGCTGTTGTGTGTGAAATACCTTGAGTGCATTCAAGGACTCTTAGCCATTTTCTGAGGGCGAGAACACATTTTATATTGGCATTGGGAGTTTAATTTGCTTTTTCTGTGTTCTTCCCATAAAACTGCAAAAATTTAATATCTCGAGCAGGATGTATCCAAAGAGACCGTTTTATATAGTTTTTGCAACATTAAAAAAAATATTAACACCATTTTGTTGCAGCGTTATAGCTCTTTATATAAGCTAAATTACTGATCACCTAAGTGGTCAGAGTGGTACTTTCATTTTATTTATTTATTTGTACATTTCATATGAATATATTTTCTTTTAGCGATTGACTAATGCTTTTCCCGTTTTATGTAACGCACCGCGTATTTCGTTGGACAAATAAATAAAATCATTGCCTTGCTGGTAGTCCTCCGCGTCGCTAGCGGCGCTCAATCTCAGACCTCTACAGAGCTCAGCTTTCTACTTCCGGAAGCTTTATTATCAATGATTTTGTCACTTGAGAGAGATTAAACACTATTCTGGTGTTTGTCTTTTGTTTTTGTCAAAAATGTCCTACAATTACGTTGTAACAGCCCAGAAACCTACGGCGGTTAACGCCTGCATCACAGGTAAATCCGCGCTGTTTTTCGCCGTTGTGCAGTAAGGAAACATTTGCCACCTGCATGTTAGCTTTGCTCCCGCGCTACAACTAAAGTGCTCCAAACGGGCCTGTAGTAGCCGCTAGCTCTTGTTTTGCTATGTCAACGGTTTACTTGTCACATAGGTTCTGCTCGTTTGTATGCGTGTCTCAACACACACATCTCTTGTCACGTCTGCTTTAACATACACACGGCAGACGTTTTTTTTCTTGCTTCTTCTTTTTGATGTAACGTTAGCTGTGTCCTGCACGTCAGTTGCAGCGGATCAAAATGCGCTTCCTCTGCTCACAAACATTAGCATATCACACAGACTTAGTGCCCCACTTAAAACGAGTTAAGCTAGATTACGTTTTCGTTCATTTGACTCACAAAAACCGTGATGCATTAAAGCTCATAGAGACGCTTATGCTGCTGTCTTTTTGTATTTCAGGCTAGACCAATAGGAATTCTGTCACATTAAAGTTACAGTTTGACATGCACTCATGAAATGGCTGCGTAGGATGCATCATCTCTTCATGTTCACTCTCTTTTTATTTTTCATGGCGATAGTAGAGACCTCGAGATGATATGAGGTGACGAATTGAGATGAATGCTCACGTGTAATAGTCTAGACGTGAAATCTACTTACAAGTTACTTTTATTGTTAAGCAATCTGATAATTGATAGTGCCAAGTGCAATCAGAGTGTAAAGATGTTTAAAGAGCTTACGAAATTACTACTTTTCATGGTAGGTCGTTGATTGTAGCACTGACTCTGACACAGTTACATTTGTTGGAGTAGATAATGGAATGAACCAGTTTGGCCAAGATATATTAGTTTAGACCATTTTGAACACAAGTAACCGTTTGCGATTTTCCTTATTGTGATAAATTAGAACACTTAAGCAAGTTGGATAATTTCCTTGTAAGTTGTTTTTAAGCTGCTAAAGACTAAAGAAGACATTAAAAATCAGCAGTTAAGCTGATATGTAAATGTATTTGAGAAGCACCAGAATATTTATGCCCCAATTTAGTGATATTTGTGGACATTTTTAATTTCTCTGTGTGCCCACTACTCTCACATTAAAACCAGTGTATTGAACATAATGTAAACATTGTTTTTCTGCAGGTCACTTCACCTCTGCTGAAGACCTCAATTTGCTCATAGCTAAAAACACACGTTTGGAGATCTATGTGGTCACAGCAGAGGGCCTGAGGCCCGTCAAAGAAGTGGGCATGTATGGCAGAATTGCTGTTATGGAGCTCTTCAGGCCTAAGGTAAGGGGTTTTGTGTGCAGTCTGTAACACTTTGAATTATTTTTCCTGCTCGACTAGTTAGTGGTCTGGTTATTTAATATATATTTAACTGCACCATAAATGATTTGTGCTGTGGTGTGTTTCTCAATCATCTACAAAGTTGGTTGGAGGGTGCAAATTTTGCCTCTCAAAAATAGTGAAAGTCTGCACATTACAAATAGGATATGACACATGCAGACACTGTCTTCTAATCGGGCTCACAGAGGCTGATCAGGTGTATAACATGTAACTCTGGTGCCTTTTTCCTCCTCATTCTTCAGGGTGAGAGCAAAGACCTGCTGTTCATTCTTACATCTAAGTACAACGCCTGCATCCTAGAATACAAACAGACCGGGGAGAGCATTGACATCATCACCCGAGCCCATGGCAATGTCCAGGTGAGACAACAACACTAATATTGTTATAGACATGAGCCACATTGTAAGGACATTCTATTTGTTATGGTGTGTTCATATGAAGGGCAGTATGTATTTTGTTCTTCTTGGTTGAATGTAGCAGTTCACTCTTTTTTAGCTCCACTACATTCATATTAATAAATCTTAATTTAGACTGTTTTAAATTATCCATTTGCCATTTAAATTGGTAAACACCGTTAGGTAACATTTCAGAATTCTTGTATTCTTTAATGTGGTTTATATCAGTGACATTTTGGACTTCTTAGACTATAACAGCTGGAAAAATGTAACTAGCTATGTGCTACATAATGTGATGCTTTCTCATACACTCCCAGTGCCAAACAGTTCCTAACCCAATGCTCTTTTGCAGGATCGTATTGGGCGTCCGTCAGAGACGGGTATCATCGGAATTGTAGACCCAGAATGCCGCATGATTGGCCTGCGGCTGTATGACGGCTTGTTTAAGGTGATCCCATTGGACAGGGACAACCGTGAGCTCAAAGCTTTCAACATCAGACTGGAGGAGCTCCAGGTCATCGACGTTCACTTTCTGTATGGCTGCCAGGCTCCAACTGTTTGTTTCATCTACCAGGTACATGAGCAGTACAGAATGTGGGAATGTGCCTTTAATGAAATGGGGGGAAAAAGAATATGTTGAAAAATTCATATATCCGGGACATTTCTATTTAATTTATTTATTCCGGGAGAATGGTTTCAAGCTTATGGTAACTAAGCAATGCACAGTAGCAAAGTGCAATTAGTGACCAGTTTTATTCCATGTGTTGTGTTTCATAGGACCCTCAGGGACGCCATGTGAAGACCTATGAGGTTTCTCTGAGGGAGAAGGAGTTTAACAAAGGCCCCTGGAAACAGGAGAATGTGGAGGCTGAGGCTTCAATGGTGATCCCAGGTACTTCAACTATTTAACTCAACATGTAGCCGTGATAATAACAAAAACTGCTGTGTGAAAACACAAGGATGTGAGCTATGAATTGCTAGTTCATAAGTGTGTAAGTTTAGTTTACAAGTTGTGAATAATTTCAATTGTTGAATACATTTAACCCACAGCACTACTGATAACTGGTAATGCAGAGGATATTAGCTTCTGTGCTGTAAACATCTCCAAAATAGCAGAAACTTCCCAGAATAATCACTCTGTCTGTGTCCTTGTATTTTAGTCCCTGAGCCATTTGGTGGAGCTATAATCATAGGACAAGAGTCTATCACCTACCACAATGGAGACAAATACTTGGCCATTGCACCACCCACTATCAAGGTAATGATAACAGATAGCACACTTCTGGTTTAGATATTTTGATCGTTCAGCTGTTCAAAAGAAGCTAGGTAAACATTTAAGTTGCAATAATGTAGAATTGAGTTAGACTGTGGCTGTTAGAAGCCTAAGCACTGTAAGTCTCAGCAAATAGACTATTTCTGTACCAGAGGCAGTCAAAATAGAGTTAGTTGGTGAAGTCACTTGCAGAGTGGGTAGTAGTGCCCTATCACAAGTAAGTATCCTATATCTAATTCAGTGATGCATCAAAATAGCTGTTAGTATTGGGCTGATGGAAGCAAACTAATTAAATCGAGCTTGTCTGGGAACATGAGCCCAAATCTGAAGCTTGTGTATAAAACGGTGTGAAATCAAGAGTGTGATTGTAGAGCTGTCTTCAGAATCACACTTTGTAAGCATGATTGTTTTGTTATATTTTTTTAAACCCTAAGGTGTACATGTGCTTTCTTTTGTTATGACTCTTATCAGTGCTAAGCTTCCAATACCTCAGGGTTTTAGTATTATCAAGATTTAGTTGTAGTCTTTCTACTGGCATTTAAAAGAGCTCAAGGCCCAAGAGCCCCTCAACGGTTTCTCGCTTCTATAATTAGAGGTTGTTCTTTCCTCCCTCGCTGCTCTTTAGAAGAACATTTTCATGAATTACGAAAGGAAAATTCGAAATCATTCAGATTAGGAATCTTCTAATTACACTGTTTTCATTATCTTCATTTTAAAACAAATATCTTTGCTAGACCTGTTGACTATCCTAATAATTATCTTATCTCCCCAATTTAAGGATGATTG